AAAAAAAAAACAAACTGTCAGAGGGAAAGAAATATCCTCAGTGTGAGTAACAAATAATATTTTGACACTACTTTTGACTTTTAAACACTTTCTTCTTAATTATCAGAAACATTATGGTGTTCAGAGTGATGTACCTCCAGGCAAATCAACCCCATCTGGTTCTCTGAAAGGAAATTGTGCTGTGAATGATCTTCACAGGGGTTTGGTGTGTGCTTTACCTTGCAGAGCTCCCTTATCCAGGAAGTTGTTCAGGTTAAACAGAGTGTTTCTGGAGGCCAGGTACTGGATGAAACGCTGCAAGAAAAAAAAACAAAGTTAACACTTGATTGATTTAAGGCTTGCAAAGTGCAAACTTAAAAATAAAACAAATGAACCCAGACAAAAGGGCTGGATTTACTGGAGTTTTGACAGATACATTTCCCACTGCTTAATCCTTCGATGCATGTGTTTTTCTTGGGAATCATCTTGGAATTATTTCAGTTACACCGCATTTGTTAATGTGGTTGCTTGTATGAATCCCAGATGGTTGAAAAGGCTGTGTGCAAATGAACCAAAAACACTTACAGTAAGAGTCTGGAAATGGACAGTGACATAAGTTTGGTTCTGTAAAACAGATTTGAACTGAAACAATCCAACATAACCAAAGTGTTGATTCTCCGCTTCAGGTTTAAGTGGCGGAATAAAAAAATACAGCTTCAACCATTTAGAAATTCCAGCCTGTCTTTTATACACGGTCCCCACTATTTCCAGAGACTGAAATCTAATCGAACAAATGAATAATTTCCCATCACCAGTTAATGCAATATTGAAGCTTAGTCCCTTGATTGAAGCTTAGTCCCTTGATTGAAGCTTAGTCCCTTGAATCAAAGCTGAAAGTCAGGACTTTAGTTGCATCTTCATTGTTTCTTCACAAATCAAATGTGCTGGCATACAACGCCAGACCAAAGCCTTCTCTACAAAATCAACACTGAGCATATGTACAGCTGGATTGCACTGCATATCAGTAAAGCATAATGCTGATGCACGATCTGTGAGGCTACAGTTGGACAAAGCGGAGCATGGTGACATGCTCAGAGTGTCATCTATGCTACAAAAGCGCCCACACAGCTACGGGCTGATGGGGATGTCACAGAGTTTAAAGACAGTTGGTCCTAAACCAAGTCAACAAATTGAAATTATGACCTTGTCAAACTAAGGGGTGGCGCTCTGACAGAACACAGAGCCAAATTAGAAAGACGGAGGAAAGCCCACAGATGATACAAAAGACGCACACAGTTACTGAAGTCCTGTTTTAAAACCCCAAGATGAGTTTCTGTCATCGTGATCTTGGTCACGGAAAAAACCAGATGTGACGAGGAGGGACTGGTCTGAACGTGAAACCACTTGAGAAAAATAAAACTACCACAATCGATTAATCATGGCATGAGCAAGATTTACAAAATAGATTTCAGTAGGTCCTAAAATTAATGATCCCATAAATTCAGCAGCTAAGTGTTTACAAAGGTCAGGTCAATAAAACATTTTCTCATAGATTTCTATAGGACCAGACGTCTCTTTCCAACCCCAGCTATCATCACCTGGTGGCCTGCACAGGGCACTTGTGCACTGGCTTCATTTTGACACCTCAGTTTGAAAAGCTTAGAGTGTTGTTGTCACCCTGCTGGGCGAGGGGGCAGGCAGGCAACTTTGGGAACATAACTGGAGAACTAGCTGACAGGATTTGGTAGCAGGAACTGACACCATAGATGTACCTACTAAAAATCTGTGACTTCAAGGTCAAAATCAGAGGTCAAGTTTACTGAAAACCTTGTGAATGCATTAGCTTGAAAAACAGGCTTCACAGGATTTTTTAAAACTGTGCCAGGGATGTATTTACTCAAGAACGATATCATCAAGTCCACTTTTCCTTTACCTTTATCTGCTGACAATTTCAAATTTGGCACCATTGATGGAATTCATATAAGATATGAGGCACCTAGAGGAGGCTGTTGTTTTGATTTATAAAATATATTACATGTAGCTATACAAACGCTACTGTTTCAGTATTTTTATAACACTTTTTCCCCAATTTGCATTTGACAGAAACACTTCTGCTGCTATTGTAGCTGTATGGATTTGCAGGGCAGGCTTATAGTTTCAATATTAAACAGTAAGGGTGGAACATCCTATAACCTGGTATAAGATGACCTGGTAACTATGTGTTCTACAGCATGTGTCTCCAGGGGTTTTTGTGGCACCTAAACATTCTACCGCCACAAACTGAGGAAGCTACCTGCATGTTTTATTGCCTTTGGGTAAAACTAAGTTAAATGAATATGCTTTCAAAAATCTGTAGAAAAGGTTTGTTACTGTTCATGTGTGGTGTGTGAACCTTTAACAGGTTCTAAAGCAAGCGTGACAGGAGATGTCCCAAAAGTCTCAAGGATTCATCCTCTCAGTGACCTAAATGTGGAATCTGACCACCAAATCAACCAACTACATAGTCCCCAAGTTGAGATTTTTATCTGGATATAAAGTATTACTGGAGTCATTAGGCTTCCTCCTCTGGGAACTTGAATATCTGCACATAACCTCTTCAAAAACTGGACAGAAAAACACTTAGTGCCATATTTGCAGCATGAATTCTCCTGTTATAAGGGCTATTTAAATAACTGGAGACATAAAACAGTATCTACCTAAACACACACACTAACCTCAGACAGATAACAGTTTAAACCCACTAAAAAAGGCTTATATGGAAGTCTCCTTTAATATCAAGTACACAGTGGTATCTGCTTTGACTCAAACACTTCACTGCGATGACCAAATACTCATGTTTTATTTGCCTCCAGCGCGTGTAGTCTGTGTCTAAAAATTAACTTCTCTATTCTTGTTTCTTAGGATTCCTTTAGAGTAGCTCACACAGAACTGGCAAGAGGAAGCAAATCATTAACCTTTGGGAAGCAGGAGAGGATTGGCAGCACAATATAATAAACGATTATGCAAACAGCCCTTTGCAAATGAGATCAAATCTTGAGCTAAAAGTCCTCTCATGACAGTGACAAATCATGTCACTGCTGCCATTTAGACTTTCTTGACAGCTTTGTTTATATTTGAACATTTTCCCACTGCAGCGTGACGTAAAGAAACCTGATCCTGCCAACTCTTAAATACTAGTCGCTTGTTCTTTTTGACAAATCTGATGTCACCGAGCAGGTGTGAGAAGCCTTGTACTTTCCATTTTCCAGGAAGAGGTTTTTGCACAGCATGACTGCTTTTTCTCTCGTACCTGGGAGCTGCTACTGTCCGCTGCTGGTCAGCTAACTTTGTTTGTTTGTTTCTTGCTTTTTCTTCTCCCTATGTGAGAGTTTCTGAATGTTGAAATATTAATAATGTGCAGCACTTTATTTATTCACTTTCTGAATCTCTGATTTTTCTGGCTAGAGCTGGATGAGCCAGACTTTTGGGAGGACCACAGTCTCTGAGTAGGTCCTGGCAGCTCATGCATATTTACTTTAGGAGAAAAAAAAAAGGTCTCAATCAATCTGGCAGAGAGCAACAAACCAGTGTTACTGACTTCCACTGCAAACAATCCCACTTTAACCATTATGTACAAGCTGTCCTCAACTTCAGACTTGACTTAAGAATTAGTAAGGTGCTGTCCAGCTAAGCCCTGTGCGGCTGTAAACCACAGGTATGTGCATTCAAACCAAGGTGTGGTAGTTTCCACACTGCTTACCCGAACACTGCATTATATGTTGCACCCATTAAATTTGAAGGACTTTCAAGGCCCTGGGCCATGTAGAAGAACTATTATGTACAGAAACAGACCATTTGCTTGGGCATGCACTTAAAAACCACACAGTGTGAAGCAGTGCTAATGCTGCATAACATTTGAAGTCAGACACTGGAAATACAGAGTTTTAAGTCGTAAAACTGAAAGACCCCACAGTTGTCACACTTCCCACTGAGAAAGTCGGCAAAGCCCCACCAACCCTCCGACTGCATGTAACATTTAGTGACACTGAAACTTTTAGACTGTACCACCACATATGTTTATTTGTGACACACTAAATCAGCTGCACATAAAACACTAACCAGGCTCTGTGAAGTTGCTGCAGTATCATTTTAAGGGGCAAAAACAGGCACCGTATTGCATTCCTAATTGTGAATGAATGGCTTTACCTTGCTAAGGAGAAGAAAAACATTCATAGCCACATTCTAACATAATGTTAGCATAACATTACTTTAAAGTGAAGACACAAAGTTCCAAGATGTGCGGAGGAAATGTTCACGACAATAAATTAAATAAGACGCTGAAATCGCCCAGCTGAACATGGCCATTTTAAAGAAGCTAACAAAGTTGGCAAAGCCAAAGGTATTTGGATCTTAGAGCCAGCAACAAGCCAGTATAGGTGCACCTTATTTTGTACGGTAAGGTACATTAATAGTTAATAGTTTTAATGAGAGAAGATCCTGTAACTTTCTGAGGTTTGGGGTAAATTCTAAAGTTTAATAATTTGTTTTGTTATCAAAATAGTGTTTTGCGTTGGAGAAAGTCTATTTTTTGTGTAAGCTGTCAAAAATCTGTATTGGCAAGTCATACTTTGAGAAAAATCGGAATCAGCTGAGACAACTGCAACGTTTTTCCTCCTTGTTTTCCAATTACTTCTACAGAACTCAGCCAGTGACATCAGATACATCTGGCTTGTTTCTTAGCCTTATGTAAAGCATGCTTTGCTTTATTATTCCAAGCATCTTAATTGCATAAGTTCTGAAATGGCATTTTCAAAGATGTGAGAAAGGTTATAAAACATGAGCTCCCATCATTAGTCAATGATCCTACAGTATAGCTGATGTTCAGTTCACATGAGAACAAATCGGTTCTTCCGTTGGAACTAATTACTTTCATAAACTGCAGGTAATATTTTTAATGTCCTCCGCACGTGTGGCTCCTGAACCTCTTCGAGAGAGAGAGTTGAAATGAAATACATCTGTGGCTCCTTTATCCCCAAAAATTTGATTTTGTTCATCCTGACGTAGTGTTTTCAGTGGGAAAAACGTTTTGTCACTCATCCACGTTACTTGTTCATCTGTGGCTACTTTATGTTTTTGGTGATTTCTGAGACCACTATAGACCGGCAGGGAGACCTGAATCCAATTTTTGACTGGAAAAACTTTAGAAAAACGTTAACCTGGCCTCTGTCTATACATTAGAGACCTAAACTTACATTTTGTCTCTCGTGAACAGTTCTGCTACCACGTCTTCCTCACTTCGTTGTTGTGGAAGGAGTCTTGGCTATTATCCACAGTTC